GGCCTCATCATCTCCTCTCTCGGAATCCAATTATCCTCCCAAATTCTGGTTGATTGACCATTACCTATGCGTCAGATTAGTCCTTGTTTCAGCACATCTTTTCCTTCTGTTATGGCTCTCCATACCTGGCTAGGATGAGATCCCAACTCAGAGTTCAAAAACTGTCCCCCCCGGGTAATATATACTCTTAAGCAGCCGTGCACAAAGACTCTTTGGTTGTTGGACAAGGCGCCATGCCTGCTTAGCTAGCATTGCCATATTGAAGAGCTCAAAATCTTTAAAGCCCAAACCCCCCATTCCTTTAGGCTGGGTCATCTCCTTCCAAGAAACCCAATGTGGTTTCCTTTTACCATCCTTACAGCCCCACCAAAATTTCCTTATCAGTTTATTTAAATGCTCACACAAGCCCCTTGGCAATTTGAAACACGACATGGAATACACAGGAACGGCTTGGGCTACTGATTTGACAAGTACTTCCTTCCCCGTCGATGACATAGAGCTCTCAATCCATCCCTGCACTTTACTCCATAATCGGTCTTTCAAGTATTTGAACGCTCCATTCTTACTATTCCCAATATCAGAGGGCATCCCGAGATACTTCTCATTCAAGGTTTCATTGGGTACATTTAGAGCCACCTTGATATCATTCTGAACACTATCCGGCACTCCCTTGCTAAAATAAATAGTTGATTTAGCATGGTTGACTCTCTGACCAGATGCTCTACAATATGTGTCCAAGACTTGGTTTACCTCCTCAGCTCCCTCACTATTTGCCTTGAAAAACACCAGGCTGTCATCAGCAAATAAGAGGTGATTAACCCTAGGTGCCGTTGGTGACACATGTAACCCCTCCATGTTGGATGGCTGTCTTCTAGATTTTAACAGGCACGACAGGCCCTCTGCTACTAGCAAGAACAAGTATGGTGAAATTGGATCCCCTTGTCTTATTCCACGAGTCGGCTTAAAACCCTCAAGCCTCTTTCCATTGAACAACACCGAAAAATTAACTGTTGATACCATGTTCATGACAATGCTTACCCACCTCTCCGAGAAACCCAGTTTAAGCATAATTGCCTTGAGATATGGCCATTCCACCCTATCATATGCTTTCATCATATCTAGCTTCAAAGCACAAGACTAGTGTTTCTTTGATTTGTTCCTCTTCATGAAATGCAAACACTCATATGCAATAATGATATTGTCAATTATCAACCTTCCAGGCACAAAACCAGACTGTTCCTCAGATATAATGTTTGGTAAAACTAGTTTCAGTCGGTTGGATATCACTTTTGAGGCGATCTTATAAAAGACGTTGCACAAACTGATTGGGTGGAATTGAGAGAGAAGGGTGGGGTTCTTTACCTTCGGTATAAGGACCAGAATGGTCTCATTAATACATTCAGCTGACTCTATTCCGTCAATTATCCGTAGAACCATCCTGGTGATCTCCTCTCCACACGTCTCCCAGTGACGTTGGAAAAAATGTGCCGAAAAGCCATCCGGGCCAGGTGCCTTGATTGGAAACATTTGGAAGAGAGCTGTTTTGACTTCCTTGCTATCATAGGGGGTGTTTAGAGTGGCATTCATCTCATCCGTCACCTTCCTTGGCACTATTCTAAGCACTTGATCCATGTATTGAACCCCTTCCGATGTATACAGCGTTTTATAAAAATCAGTTGTCATCGTCTCCATCTCCTCCGTATCTTCTATTACTTGGCCATCAGCCCTCTGGAGAGCCTTTATTTTATTTTTTCTGCGACGGCGACTCGCCCGAAGATGGAAAAAATAAGTATTTTTGTCACCATGTCTCAGCCACTCAATTCTTGCCCTTTGTCTCCACAAAATTTCTTCACGGTGATACAGTTCAACCAATTGATCAGTTACTTTGATTTCTGTTGCTGTCGGCCCGGATCTTCCTGGGGATCCTCGTAGCTCCTGTAGCAGATGCTGCAGCTGCTTTATTTGGGCGCGCACATTACCAAAATGCCGGCGGTCCCACTGCGATAGGTCAGTAGCCAGCGCCTGGAGCTTGTCGCGCATGCTAGCGACAGAATCTGTCGGGCCTCTCGCCCATGCAGCCTGCACTACGTCCGGGAGAGTGGGGTCCCTTTCCCAGCATAGTTCATATTTAAAACTGCGTGGGTCCCGTCTGCATGCATGCATCCCCCCACGTCGAGAAATATAGGAACGTGATCATAAGACCCTGATTCTTTGTGCTCTGTAATTGAATTGGGGAAGGCCATGCACCACGCTACATTAGCCACACATCTGTCTAGCCGTACCCTAGTGTACGTTCCACTTGAAACTTTTTCTCAAAGGTCCAATTCCTTCCCTTGTAACCGATATCAGTCAAGCCGCAAGTGTCAAGTGCGTCCCGGAATGAATCCATCTGGGCTTGGCTTCTGTTTCCAACTCCGTCATGCTCGCTCAGCAAAAGAACTTCATTAAAATCGCCCATAACAACCCATGGCTGGTTATTGGGCCCTGATATTCCACGAAGCAAGTCCCACGTTTTGTGACGTTCACTCACCTGCGCTTCCCCATATATAAATGTAATTCTTGTCTGAATATTCACTAGCTCATCAACAACGACATCAATATGATACTTGGAATAACCAACAACTTCAAGCTTTATTTCCTCGTTCCAAAATATTCCAAGGCCCCCACTTCTACCAGAACTACTCACCGCAAAACTTTTTTCATAGCCTAAAGAGCCTACCATATTCTCCACTGGAGAGCCCTCTATTTGAGTCTCAACAATACAAACTATAAAGGGGGCAAGTTGCCTCGTGAGATCACGAAGCTCACGAACTGTCGCGGGTTTGCCAGCCCCACGACAGTTCCAGCATAGTAGACTCATTGCGCCTGGCGCGACCCCCCTAGTGGGTTGCCAGCCCCACGACAGTTCCAGCATAGTAGACTCATTGCGCCTGGCGCGACCCCCTTAGGGGGCCCGCCAAACGCGCATCAGTTGGTTTGCTAGGGGCTAGACTCTTCACTGGACCTTTATCTTGAGCTGTAGTTGTTCCCTTATTCCTCTTCGGCTCCTGCTTCGTCGAGGGGCTCGGGGGTAATTCTGGAGCCGGTAGTAGCATCGGCAAAACACCCTTTCCATTGTGAGAAGGGGGATTCGGGGGGATCTTGGGATCAGCAACATCAGAGGCACCCCTCTTGCGATTCCTCTCTCCATCTGTCATGTCAGTGTCCACTGCTTTCAGCACGGTGTCGTCCTCTTTCCTAGGCATGTTAGAGTTCTGCTGCATGCCCCCTCTTCATCTACCATTGCCGCGGCCACCACGACCCCTGCCTCGGCCACCTCTGATCCCAGAGTTTTCTCCAGGGCCCCTCCCAGGGCCTCGAAACCATGATGCTCTTAGATCCTTGAAAACTAGCGCCTTCGGGGGGTGAACCCCGTCCCCGCACTCTTTAAAAGTGTGACCGAGGTATCCACACACCGCACACCAGTCAGGCAGTCTTTCATACTTAACCCTGAAAAGCACCCTCTGAACCTCTCCCTTCTTCTTTACCACCAGGGAAACGACATTCTTCAAAGGTTTCGTGACATCAATGTTAACACGCACACGGGCGAAATTCCCTTCAAAATCCTGTGCCATTGTTTCGGCATAGATAAACTCCCCAACTGTCGCTGATAAAGCTCTGATCTTGGAGAAGTATCCTTGTGGGAAGTCGTGTATTTGCACCCACATCTCAACTTTATTGAGCTCTATGGAAGAGGGTTTAGTGAAACCATCATAGGGTGCCATCACGACCGCCTTCCCCTTGAAGTTCCATGGTCCATCCTCCATAACCCGTTCCCAATCACCCAGACACGAGAACTGCAGCGTGTAGAGGTTTTCCTCGAGAGGTTTGATCTTCACCTCCTGGGCTAGGTCCCAAGCGACCATCATGTTCCGAAAGAACCAATACTGACTGTAGGGTTTATCAGTATGAACCCTAGCAATCACCATCCAGCGGATCGCCTCTTCCGGAAGTTCGTCCTCTTCCACGATCACATCCTGCAGATCATCCTCCTGGAATCCCAGCTCTGCCATCATCGCCTCGAGTTCAGAGGAGCCCGAGCTTTCCCCTGCCTCGGCCATCGATCAGATCTCTTGCCCGTGGTTTCTTTCTTGCGTGCGTAGTCAAGTACGTCATGGTCTCCTGCCTCTCCCGGTGTCATGGGCTCGTACATCATGGGCCTGCTTGCATTTTTATTCGTGAAAATCGTGATGATGTACATGGGCCAAGTCTTCATGTTAATAGTGACTAGGAAGATGCTCATGTGTTGCATGGAACATCAAGATGCATTTGTATAAGTAGTTTATCTAGTGGGAGAAAAGGATAAACGAGAGAAGGCCTTATTTGCAAATGTGAAGAGGGGTGTGGGTATATTTTTGCAAATTGCCATAGTTTCCTCCCTATCCATCACATATAAATCGGACAACATATATTGCAGGATGGCAGGCACACTATCGTCACCAACTCTGTTTTTTTATAAGAGTAGAGATCCGTGCCTTGGTGTTTATCACGTCTTGATTTGGTAAAACAAAGAACTAAGTCCTGATCTGGTACCCTTGAGGATTAACCCACGTGATCCAACGTGCCCGCAGTGACGCAGACATTAATCCATGTATGATACTAGTGTATGATACTACATCTGTAATGCATGGTATCATATGTTGGTATCATACATGACTATATTTATTGTCATGTATGCCATAAAGTAGCACATCATTTAATATGATACGGTATGATGATACTCTCTTTCTTCATTTAATTTTATGCCATCTCATCAAAATTGCTTAGTTGACATACATGATATCTATGATATTTTATTACAATTAGCCTTAGTTTGTGCGTACGTCTGTCTGAGCAGCTAATTAAGCAAGCTTTTTTTAACTCTAAGCGATGATGACAGGGGAAGAAAGTGTCTTCAAGATGATAGAAATATATACGCCCACCCAACAAGCTATGAGCAAGCAAGCAAAAGCCAGCAGGAGATGGCAATGGTGGACGCCGAGGCTCCCTTTCTCGAGGCCAGGGAGGAGCCGCTGGCCGGCGTCTCCGACTTCCGCGGCCGCCCCGTCTACCACGCCACCTCAGGCGGGTGGCGCTCCGCCATCTTCGTCGCCGGTATGCACACTGCATCAACAACAGCTAGCGGACAATATTTTACTAGATCAACTTAGCAAACTATGTACTGTAGAAGGGGAAAACGCCTCGTGAGCCGCCGCCCCTAGCGGTTCCCTCCTCCTTCGCGCTCGTGGTGGCTAACCTCGCGCGTGGCACCGTGCTGGCGGCAGCTCGTCCTGCTCTGGCGCCGGCAGAGTGCTTTGCTCCTCGCGCGCCGGGGTGATGTTGGCCAGATGTGCGGCTCTCAGATCTTGCACGGACAGCCCGGTTCCTGGTGGCCCTGAACTAGCGTGGCCGGCGTGTTGCCGCCGGATCTCGCCGCGGTCAACGCGGCTTGTGTGGCTCCTAGCGCGCCGATAGAACTACGAGTGCGGGCGTGCGGCCTGTGGCGGCCGGGGCCCTCTAGTGGCACTGTGGCAGTGGCGCCGGCGATGTGTGGGGCTGCTGTGGCGCGTCCGGTGGTGGCGCGAATCGGGTCTTATCCAGCGCCTTGTGGCCGAGCTCTTGGGGTGCTCCATACGGCAGCCGATGGCTGAGTGCAGCCTCTAATCCATTCAGCGGACTTTGGGAGGCACGCCACCGCTGGTGGTCTTTGGGTGGCGACTCGCGCCGTGTCTCGGTCTGGCATTGGTTAGGCGGATCTCGTCCGGCTTGATCTGGTGATGGACGGCTGCCCCCACGGCATGCCTGCCTTGTCCCGGGCCGCTGGACATCCGTCGTGTTAGCTTAGCAATATCGTTGTCTTGGCAGATTTGGCATCTCCGCAAATACTGGATGTGTGAGTTCACTCCGATCCAGGATTTCGATGCCAATCTATACTTCTCTGGCAACCTGGTGCCAACTGCCAACAACACAGAGGACTTCATTTATTGTGATGCTCTTCAATAATACAGTATAAGAGCATCTCCAACAGGCGCCTAAAAAGAGCTCCGTACACTAAAAATTAGTTTTTTTGGCGCCCAACAGCTCCAGCCGATGCTGTAGCGCTAAAAAGTTTTGGGCGCGCGCTGAGAAACGCTATCGTGCGCAGTATATTTTGGGCTCCGGATTATGCGCGCTTCACAATTTACACTGTCTTCTTTTTGGGCGCGCGTCTTTGGACATCTGCTAAAGTAATGTTGGTTCCGGCGCACTAAAAATACTAAAGTGGCACGCTATAACTTTTATTGGGTGCGAGATTTTTATGTGACCATTAAAGTCTCAACAATTTCAGGTGAAAGCCATAGGTTTGGCCAACCATGATCGTAATTGACATGACATTGGCGGTTTACGTTCGCTTGTCGAAGACTAAAGCTTACTCAGTCTTTCTTTTCTGGGTGAGAACCCATGGTCTAGGACCTAGGCGGTTGGATCCTACGAGGATGACATTCATGCACAATTTTCTTGATAAATGCATTACTGTGGATGAACCTACGGGGAGCGTCATTCGGATGTTGTCAATGATGGGGTTCTTGTGGATGTTTTCCTGCCGTGGGTCGCCCGTCACGCTTGATTCTAAGGGTCCTTTTAATTTCCCCTTTTTCTTGTTGGCTATGCGCATCCAAGTCATGAAGAGGCTAGATATATATTCATTGTGTTTTGTATTCACTTGATGCAATATTTTTAATGAATTACTAGTACCCATTATTAAAAAATGCTAACAAGATAGCGATGCATATGCAGTGGTGGAGGGCGCCGGCAGCTTCGCCTACTATGGCGTGTCGGCTAATCTGATCACGTACTTGACGGGGCCGCTCGGCCACTCCAACGCTGCGGCAGCTGCGGCTGTGAACGTCTGGACGGGGACGGCCAGGCTCTTGCCACTGTTAGGCGCCTTTGTCGCCGACTCCTGGCTAGGCCGCTACCGCTCCATCATCCTCGCCTGCACCCTCTACGTCCTGGTAATTATTTAGGAAATTAATCTTTTTTTGCGGGAATAGGAAATTAATCTCCTCTCTCAACTTTTTTGTAAGAATTCTCTTTTAACTACGACTCCCACCATTTCATAACATATTGTTTACAGATTTTCTCAAAGTCACATATAATAGGGTTTGCCAAGTTTATTAAGAAAAATATTAACATTAATAATACCAAATAAACATCATATGAAAGTATGTGTCATGATGTATCCGATGATATTATCTAGTGCCATAGATGTAGCTAATTTTTCTGTAAACTTGCTCAAAGTTGTCAAAGCTTAACTTCCCAAAATTTTGATGTCTTTGTGGACAAGAGCCAGCACAATTAGGATTAGACTTTTTAAAAAAGGGAATATATTAATATCACAGAAATATCAATTACACGCAGCCTCTGCGCCAACAAAAAGTTACAAAGACATCCAAGATGCACATTGTCCGAAAAGAAAAAAACAAAGGCCCCGCCAGAGTGATCAACTCCTCTCAGCAACAGCACACAAACCACCACCAAAGATAACACCTGGAAAATATAAAAGGTCTCCAAAAGCAACGCCTTCAAGAAGGAAACAGTGCACAAGCATCATCGTCACCCGACCCAAGATCGTAGGTTTTCACCCTGAAGAAAGACCGAACTCTCAAAACAATACCTTCAACAAGGCAATTGCCAGACACAACCAATGAAGGTCAGACCTTAAGTTTTCATCCTAAAAGTCACCACTCGGTACCCAAAGAGCACCACCACTAATGAAACCCTCCACTGTTGTCGCCCCCACTTGACATTGATACTGGAAGCTTTCAAACATCTGGCTGACTCTACCACCTTCAAGGCCCCCTCCGCCTTACTGATCCTCCTATCTCAGCCATCAAGATCTTCTCCGCTGCTATCTGTGCATAGAAATTGACATGCTGACATGTCCCATGGTGTCAACAAATAATAGAGCTTCGCGCCATGCCCTCCTGGAGCCACGTAGGCTGATATGGACACGCATGAACGGATACTATCCGATCCAGATATCCATGGGCAAGATCTCTAGCAGTAGTTTGGGGACACGTTGATGGCCAGATCGAGGAGGATTGATCAAGCAGAACATTGACATGATGCGATAAGAGCACAAGGACCGCCACCACACCGTTGCCTCCACCAAGCCGACGCCATTGCCGCCATTACGGAGGACACAAGCCCGCGGCTCTAGGCGCAAAATCTGACAGAAACGGCAGCCGCACTGGCCCGTCCGGCAGACCAGCACAACGCTTGATCGGCAGCAGTACGGCGCACAGATGAGGAGGCAGGCCAACGGCCCAACCTGCCGGAACCGAGCAACCGCCCAAAACATCGTCGTCGTCACCAAGGGAGACTCTGCCGTGCCATCGACCGCAGCGGCTTCGCCCTGCAGCTTCCTCCGGGGTGACGGAGAGGACGGGTGGTTTTTTCGGGGGTGGCGGCGCAGGATCCACGATCCACCCATGTCACCCGCACGGGAGCGATTATTAGCTGATCTACTTAGTTCCCCCTAGCCATCCAACTAAACATTAGATCTTAGTTTCACAATACTCACACTATTGATAACCCTTATAAGATCCATATTTTTAGATAATATTAATTCCATGCTCTATTAGTATAACTTGAATTATTATTTCTCAAAAGTTCATGATTAGACATTTGCTCCAAAATGTGTGGCAATGTTAAAAAAATTTAAAGCAGGTGTACCATAATTAATATAGTTTCAAATTATTAATGCTAGATTTTAGTATATTGTTGATGACACGTGCATTACACATTAAGGGTTGCCACGTACATTAATTGCACAAACACTCACAAGTCAAAACTACTCCTATATGTGCAGGGTTACGGCATGATCACTCTAGCATCCACGCTCCTTGCTCAGCAACCGTCACTAACCCTGGACAATGACTCCTCTTCGCATCCTTTGTCGTTGCAAGTGGCCTTCTTCTACGCCTCCCTCTATCTCATCGCCTTCGCACAGGGTGCTGACAAGCCTTGTGGCCTTTCCTTTACCGCCGATCAATTTGACCCTGACCACCCTAGCGAATGCGCAGCCCGCAGCTCCTTTTTCAATTGGTGGCACTTTTCCATAGCCGTTGGTATAGGTATCGCCGTTAATGTCGTAAGCTATATCCAAGAGAATTTTGGTTGGGGAATTGGTTTTGGCATGCTATGCACTGTAATGATTTGCGCCTTCGTCGTGTTCCTCCTTGGCATTCCTACCTACCGCCTCCACATGTCCATCACTGGCTGCGGTAGCCCCTTTGCCCGTCTCGGCCGTAGTTTCATTACTCTTGCCAAGAACTCAAGCTTCTTCTTCCGCACTAAAAGACACCAAAATGAAGATGAAGATGTCACAAGCAACTTGGAGGAGGCACGTGGCATGCTAAGGCTATTGCCAATCTGGGTTGCATGCCTAGCATTTGGCGTGGTGTTCGCGCAAATAACTACACTCTTTAACAAGCAGGGCTGTACCCTTGATCGTCGTATCTTTGGCGGCCTAGAGGTACCATCAGCCACGTTGCAAACGTTCTGGCCAGCAGCCGTCCTATTGTTCGTGCCTCTCTACGACCGTGTTCTAGTGCCGGCATTGCGTTGCGTGACAGGCATCCCATCAGGACTGACGCTGCTGCAGCGAATAGGCACGGGCATGGCTGTGTCGCTAGCCGCCATGTGTGTGGCGGCGTTGGTGGAGGCTCGGAGGCTAGAGATGGCGCGGCAACACGAACTGGTTGACGATGGTGGTGCGACAGTGCCGATGAGCTGGGCATGGCTAGTGCCACAGTACATGATGGTCGGGGTGGCGGATGTGTTCGTGATAGTTGGGATGCAGGAGTTCTTCTATGACCAGATGCCTAAAGAGCTTCGTAGCCTTGGGATAGCGCTCTACTGCAGTGTGATTGGCGTTGGCGGCTTCATAAGTGGCGCTCTCATTTCACTCATTGACCGCATCACCCGTAGCGATGGCGGCGACAGCTGGTTTTCTGATAATCTCAATCGCGCCCACCTCGACTACTTCTACTGGGTGCTCGCCGGCCTCAGCGCCACCGAGCTTGTGCTCTACATCTATTTCGCTAGATCCTACGTCTACAAGGACAAAAGAGACCGTGCAGAGTGACAACCTAGAATTAGCAGTGGTTGTATTTATGCATCGATCGATGTAGTGGATGATCAGCAAACATATTTTTTTTACTCCACTGGACTGTGGTAACTTATGTGGTATTTGAAGAATATGTATCTTTGGTTGGTTTATATGATACCTGTTTACGTTTTAGTTTTTCTGCTGGATCGCACTTGGCTTTGTAATAAACTTGTGCATGTATAAAAAGCAATAAAACCTTTCCTTTACAAGGAAAACCCGATCGGTAAAGAAGCAACGCATTAGCAAGTGGCATAAGTAACCCTACGGGACTCTCTACGTCTTCATGATGACAATGCATTTGAAGATAAAATACACTTATAAATCAGGTTTAATCAGCCTGCACCTCAGGTGCATATTTTAGGTGACTTTTCTGTTGGTGAACCATGAGCCTTGTTTGGTGTATGAAAGATAATCGACTCTTTGCGTGCATCTGTTAGAATTCAAACTGTATAGAGATAAGACTCTATTTAACTTGTGTTCTCCCTCTATCTCTTCTTCTCTCCCGTATCTTCTGTAACCTCTCGATCTCTCGATCTCTCTCGTAGATCGCAACTTGTACGCCAAGGCTATTGCCATATATATATCAATGCGGCCTGAGACAAAGGGTTCAACGCTTCCAACCTATTTTACATGGTATCAGAGCCTCTTCCTCATAGATTAAAGATCGCATCTAGCTACCTCCCAAATATCGCATCAAGCTTCCTCCCTCGATCGAGATCATGTCCACCACCACCGCTGCATCGCTGTCCGGCACCTCGGGCGCGCTCACCACCTCCCTGTCCTCCACCTTCGCACCATCCTCGTCCAGCACCACCGCAGGGTCTCTCGGATCGCCACCACAGGAGAAGCTCACGAGGGGAAACTTCCTCTTATGGAAGGCCATTGTGCTGCCTCAGATTAAAGGCGCCCAGATGGAACACCACCTCGACGGGACGAGCCCGCCACCGCCGGCCACCCTCACCGTTACCAAGGACGGCAAGGAAGAACAAGTCTTCAACTATGCCCGACCTCTCTGGTACGCACAACAGCAGCAGCTTCAAGGGTATTTGATGGGATCCCTCTCCCGCGATATCCTTGCACAGGTCGCGACGTTACAGACGCCGGCCGAAGTTTGGAGCGCCATCCACGCCATGTTCGCCGCTCAGAGCCAAGCCCAAGCCATCAACACCCGCATCGAGCTCACTAACCTAAAAAAGGTAACATGACCATGGCTGAATATCTTGGCAGGATCAAAAGCCTCACCGATGAAGTCGCGTGCACTGCCGCGGCCCTCTCCGATCCAGAAATCGTCTCCAAGATCCTCGCTGGCTTGGACATGGAGTACAATCCGATCGTGTCTGCCCTTGCTGCTCGGGTGGAACCCATCACCGTCCAGGAGTTGTACAATCAGCTGCTGAGCTTCGACGCCCGCCTCACCCTCCTTCATGGCGGCGATCTTTGGCAGTCATCTGTCAACTCTGCTGTTCGTGGCCGCGGTCGTGGGCGCGGTCACCAGGGGCAGAACCGCGGCGGTGGCCACGGACGCGACACTCCTCAGGGCGACGGTGCTCGCTCTGGTGGGAGCTACAGCTACAATAACGGGGGCGGCTACAACAACTCCACTAGCAGTGGCGGCGGCTTCAACTCCAACAACAGCCGCCGGCCTCCCGCCTCGCGTCCTCGCCCCCGTTGCCAGCTCTGCAAGAAATCTGGCCATGAGGTCATGGATTGCTGGCATCGCTTCGACGACAATTTTGTCCCTGATGCTCGCCATGTTGCTGCTGCCATGCGCGAACAAGGAGGAGATGGAGTCTGGTACGTTGATTCCGGTGCCACCGACCATGTCACCAATGAACTAGAGCAACTTGCTCTTCGTGAGAGGTACCACGGTGCTGATCAGATCCATACTGCCAGTGGAGGAGGTATGGACATTTGCCACATTGGTCAAGCTTCAATTAATTCCCCTAGTCTTAAACATGATCTCGTCCTTAAGGATGTCCTTCATGTCCCACAAGCTGATAAAAATCTTGCATCCATGTCTCGTCTAGCCACCGATAATAATGTCTTCTTTGAAACTCACCCTCGTTATTTTTTCATCAAGGATCGGGTAACGAGGGAACTCCTCCATCACGGTAGATGCATTGGGGGTCTCTACCCAATCACATCCGGAGCTCTTAGTCGCCAGCGTCGTCAAGTCTACTCCTTCATCAAACCCTCCTTGGAAAGGTGGCATCAACGATTAGGACACCCATCTTCAGTAATAGTGAAACAAGTAGTCAATAAGGACAATCTTCCTTTGTCCCATAGTTCCATTAGTGAGTCTGTTTGTGAAGCTTGTCAATGTGCCAAGAGCCATCAGCTTCCGTATCCTAAGTCTCATAGTGTCTCTCATACTCCTTTAGAGCTTATTTTTAGTGATGTGTGGGGCCATGCCCGAGATTCTTTTGGAAGAAAAAAATATTATGTGAGTTTCATTGATGATTACAGCAAATTTACTTGGATTTATTTGCTCAAGTATAAATCTGAAGTTTTTTCTATCTTTCAAGAATTTCAGAAACTTGTTGAAAGACAATTTGATAGAAAAATTCTGTCAGTCCAAAGTGACTGGGGAGGGGAGTATGAGAAACTCAACTCTTTCTTCCGGAGCATTGGGATTGCTCATCATGTGTCTTGCCCTCATGCACATCAACAGAATGGCTTTGCTGAGCGCAAACATCGCCACATAGTTGAGGTTGGCCTCTCTCTCTTAGCTCATGCTTCTATGCCTCTCAAGTATTGGGATGAAGCTTTTATCACCGCCACTTATCTTATCAATAGACTCTCTAGCAAAGTCATTGGCAATTCCACACCATTAGAGCTCTTGTATCATCAAAAACCTGATTATAACTATCTTAAAATCTTTGGGTGTGCTTGCTACCCCAATTTGCGTCCATACAACCACCATAAACATGAATTTCGATCCACTCAGTGTGTCTTCCTTGGTTATAGAAATCTCCATAAAGGGTATAAGTGCCTTGAAATTTCTACCGGACGTATCTATATTTCACGTGATGTTGTTTTTGATGAGACACTCTTTCCGTTTGCCAAACTTCATCCTAATGCTGGAGCTTTGCTTCGTGCTAAAATTGCACTTCTACCAGATTTTGATACACCTTCTGATCACGGGGGCGAATTAACTAAACTTGGTCATGTGCAAAAATCCCAAGGAAATTCTGATTCTGTTGCAATTTCTAGTAATGCAACCTGTGATTTCATGTGTGAGGAAACAAACAAGGAGGGCGCGGAGCACGGTGCAGATTTGGCTGGCAGCACGAGATCCCATGCGGATCCGCGCGCTCAGCCTGGCACCTCTGTCATCACGCGATCCCAGGCGGATCGCCTCGTGGGCCTGGACTCACATGGGCAGGCGGCCGACCACGCAGACCGGGTGGAGCTCGCTGGTCCCGACGCGTCGGCCCTCACCACGTCTCTGCGCACCGATTCGCCCGCCAGCTCATGTGCGGCAAGGAGCGAATCTCCCGACGCTGCGTCACCACGGGCCTCCTCAGCGGCCGACCGCGGGTGCGTGCCCGGTCCCACAACGACCAGTCGCGGTTGCGCGCCTGGATCTTCGATCGGTCGGGCGCCAGAATCTGCCTCGGACCAGGAGCCTGCGGATTTGTTCTCTGCCATAGACAGGGAACCGGCTGGATCTTGTGTGGCCGATATAACTTCACCAGGATCACTTGTTCCATCGTCCACGGCGTCTGCTCCTGTACCTCCTACAACTTCACTTCGGCAAACAAGGTCCCGGTCAGGTATTGTGAAAGAAAAACAGTACAATGATGGTACTATAAGGTATGACAAAATTAAACGTGCCTTTCTTACCACTACCGGTGAACCAATTCACTTGCATGATGCTCTTGCTGATAAGAATTGGAAGGAAGCCATGGACAATGAATATGATGCACTTATGAAAAATAAGACTTGGCACTTGGTTCCACCAAAACATGGAGACAACATTATTGATTGTAAATGGGTGTACAAGATAAAAAGAAAGTCTGATGGAAGTATAGATAGATATAAGGCTAGACTAGTTGCCAAAGGATTTAAACAGAGGTTTGGAATTGACTATGAAGATACCTTTAGTCCTGTTGTTAAGTCTGCTACTATTCGACTTGTCTTGTCTATTGCTATTTTCAGAGGTTGGAGCTTAAGACAGCTAGATGTTCAGAACGCGTTTCTTCATGGTGTTCTTGAGGAAGAAGTGTTCATGAGGCAACCATCAGGTTATGAGGATCATAGCACACCATAGTATGTCTGTAAGTTGGATAAAGCATTATATGGTTTGAAACAGGCCCCAAGAGCTTGGTATTCCAGATTAAGCTTGCAGTTGCAACGCCTTGGGTTCATACCATCCAAGGCAGATACCTCATTATTCTTCTTTAACAAAGGCAATGTTACTATTTTTGTACTTGTTTATGTTGATGATATAATTGTTGCTAGCTCAAGTACAGAAGCCACTACCTGCTTGCTTAAAGGTTTGAAATTAGAGTTTGCTCTTAAGGATTTGGGTGATCTTCACTATTTTCTTGGAATAGAGGTAAAGAAAATTAAAGATGGCATACTTCTCTCACAAGAAAAGTACACAACTGATATTCTCAGAAGAGTAGGATTGGAGAAGTGCAAACCAGTTAATACACCAATCTCTACCTCAGAAAGCCTCACAGTGGAAAGTGGAGAAGCTCTTGCACCGGAGGATGCAACAAATTATAGGAGTGTTGTAGGTGCTTTGCAATATTTAACTCTTACACGTCCTGATATTTCCTATTCAGTGAACAAGGTATGTCAATACTTACATGCACCTAGAACCACTCATTGGACTGCAGTAAAGAGAATTCTAAGATATCTCAAGTATTCAGAAGGACTTGGACTTCAAATCACCAAGTCTTCTTCTTTGCTTGTAGCCGCATACTCAGATGTAGATTGGGCAGGGTGTGCTGATGATAGAAGGTCTACAGGTGGTTTTGTTGTATTTCTGGGAACAAATCTTGTGTCATGGAGCGCAAGAAAACAGGCCACTGTCTCAAGATCAAGTACAGAGGCTGAATATAAAGCCTTGGCGAATGCTACAGCTGAAGTAATGTGGATACAGACACTACTCTATGAGCTTGGAATTAAAGCTCCTCAGGCTGTGAGATTATGGTGTGACAACATTGGTGCAACCTACCTCTCAGCCAATCCTGTTTTTCATGCACGAACAAAACAAATTAAAGTTGATTTCCACTTTGTCAGAGAAAGGGTAGCTCGGAAGTTGCTTGAGATCAAGTTCATCCCTATAGGGGATCAACTTGCAGATGTGTTTACAAACCCGCTTACTATGAGAGGATTAGAGAAGTTTACATACAATCTCAACCTTGGCAAAGCTTCATGAGGTTTAGATTGAGGGGGAGTGTTAGAATTCAAACTGTATAGAGATAGGACTCTGTTTAACTTGTGTTCTCCCTCTATCTCTTCTTCTCTCCCGTATCTTCTGTAACCTCTCGATCTCTCGATCTCTCTCGTAGATCGCAACTTGTACGCCAAGGCTATTGCCATATATATATCAATGCGGCCCGAGACAAAGGGTTCAACGCTTCCAACCTATTTTACAGCATCTACGTTGTACTTGGTGTTTCTAAAAAAACAAGTCGATTACCTTTAAGTGGGAAAACCTGTTCCATCATATCCGCTTGGGCTGAATTAAAATGTCGGTGAAACTTTGCATACCCGCAGCATGAACGCCGAGCTAATACAGATTTTCTTCTCTAAAGAAAAAACAAGGTACTGCAAGGGATGGAGCGTCAGAGTATGAAAGATAATCGACTTGTTTTTTTAGAAACACCAAGTACAACGTAGATGCGCGCAAAAGATCGCACTCACACCACACCTTCTGTAAATTAGATGCATCACCACACAGCCACAATCACACTGGGGTCTATCTAAGATTGTAATCACGGTGTTTTAAGATTGACGAAGTCATTACCTGCTTCGATCCTGTCCCGTTGAAAGAATAAATATAGATGGGGAACGTCAACCCCAAGTTTTGTTCCCTTGTGTGTTGGGGTTAATTACATCCAACTTTACTAGACGGCCACCCAAACTATGGTTCCTTCTCAGAAAAATGAAGTATTCTACCGCCATCATAATCGGACCAGCAAGCAGCAAGCCAGCAACGCAGGCTCAGCTGGCACATATCTATATGTAGATGAGCCATGTGCAAACCAGGACACTTGAAACAAGCGCGCGTCTCCCATTGACACCGACCGATAGGCGTTGCGAGATGGACACCGAGGTGCCCTTTCTTTCCGGCGTGGACGAGGATGGGCTGCCGCTCGCCGGCGTCTCCGACTTCCGCGGCCGCCCCGTCTACCGCAACACCTCGGGCGGATGGCAAGCTGCCCTCTTCGTCGTCGGTACGTACACGTGTAGGCACTGCCCTACCTAAGCCTTTCATCGGCGACAACTGATTTACTCTGCCGTGCGGAATGCATGCAGCGATGGAGCTCGCCAGCACTTTCGCCAACTACGGCGTGTCGGCGAACCTTATCACGTATCTGACAGGACCATTGGGCCACTCCAACGCCTCAGCGGCGGCCGCCGTGAACATCTGGTCGGGGACGGCGAGCCTCATGCCTCTGTTGGGCGCCTTCCTCGCCGACTCGTGGCTGGGGCGCTACCGGTCCATCATACTTGCCAGCACCCTCTATGCCCTGGTAATTATAGTTTTTTTTTTCAAAACAGAGGCAAAAGGATTGCCTCATCGATTAATTAAGAAGAAGAGAATTGCTCGGTTAATTTAGAAAAACCGGACGAAAACCGATACAAACACTACAAAAGTGACACTCCAGAAGCGACTCACTCTCACGACCACGTAGACGGTCCACCAAATGCTCCCAACACACACTAAACCACAGCCACTTCTACGACTCAAAAGACCAAAGCCACGTGGACAACGCGAAACACTGAGCACTACCAATCATGAAATTGCAGCTGCCTTCCCTTTAGCATCATCAACCAAAGAAACCTCCAACTGCTCACTTGACAGAGGCGAAACTTGTCCTTCAATCGAGGCCGCCGACATGTCCACCTTCGTATGCTCCACTGATAGACTTAGGCATAGCTCCCTAAGCTCAGGCATGATCTGCAGCACCGGAGTCACAAGCACGGCGATGGACTCGCCCTCAGTGGAAGACACCATAGGAGGGGAGGTAGGCACCGACGATGAATGGACTCCAACACGAGGGGAGAAAGAGCCATACAACTCCTCACCCCTGTCTTCCACGGAGCAAACACCGGCCACACAAGGAGAATGTGACGTCAGAGTGGTCTGCAACAGAGCCGGCACAAGGGATAGTCTACCCAGAGCAACCTCCGCTCGCTCCAGAAAGCTCTCAACCCGCGCCACACAACCTTGCAATAGTGCAGTCTGATCAGCCAGTGCGGACTGCAACATCAGCTCGGACGGGGTTGCCGAGCCAGCAGCAACAGAGACAACAGATGCCCAAGACCCACGGTGAAGTGCCTTCGAAGGGGGTGTGGATCTCACCGAACCCTCACATGAAGCAGGAGCAACACGATGCACGGTGCCGAGGCGGGACACATGCGGCACATCAAGGCATGATAATGAGCTCAGAGGACGCCGGGGGTTGCGACATTCACGCGCACGATGACCATTCTCCAAACAACGAGAGCACCGCAACGGATCTCTGCAAACAACCGCACGATGCCCATAAGCAAGGCATCTACAGCATCTACCATGGAGCCAACCAGGGATGGGACGAGGAGGACGAGGAGCCATCATCGAGGATGGCGACGAAGTCGAACGATGCGGGCCGCGCCGCAGTAGCACCTCCTGCCAACCCTCACTTGTGTCTGTGTCATGGCCCATGCAAATCCCTTCGGAGTCGAGGGCTTTGGTGACAGTCGGCGGCGTCTGGGGGGCCACCTCCTCGTCGTCATCTTCGTCTTGTTGTCAGCAGCGGAGGCCCACAACACAGCTCGTGGTGCATCGGTCAGCCCGTTGCCCATGCCAACAACGATGCTTTTTTGCATTGTCGGGCAGCGTCAAGGCCATCTCCTCTCCACAGCCCTCATTGTCTCCATTGGCCGGGGCCACAGGGGCCGGCAACAGGGCTCGGGCTCGCGGTGCACTGGTTAGCTCATGCCCCATGGCAACAACGGTGCTCTTTGCATTGGCGGGCAGCGACAGAGCCAGATCCTCTTCACAACGCCCATCCTCTCCATTCGCCGGGGCAGCAGGGGCCGGCAGCAGCACACTTGAGACGACACCGACAAGAGGGACGGGGGCGGCATGAGTCCGGACAGAAGCAGATGTTGACGCAGGATTGAGACGGGGCGTGCACGAGGCCTTCACACCCCCATCCTCCCTCCTGAATCTGCAAGCTGGCGGCAGCGGCCGCGGTCGAGGGACAACGCCAGCAGCCGGGATGGTGCTTGTAGCCCAAGTGCACGACCCTACTCCTGCCTTGGTCTCCACGACGCTATCAGCCCGGGATGGCGATGCAGACGGCGGAAGGACGACGGCTGCAACAGCCGGAGACGCCGCCGGAGCGGCGGCCGCCGCGGAGGCCTCCTCGAGCGGCATCGCAGGGCGAACCGGGGCGCAGGGCGGCGCTGAGGACGTGGGAGAGCGCGCCTCGGGGCACCCGGATCCGGTAACAGCGGCCGCAACGGAGCATGGAGGCCGGAGATCCATGCGTCGGCGGCGCGCGCCCAGCCGCCACTTGCACGGACGCGACAGCATCATCCTTCCCATCTGCTTGACGTCGGGCTGAGCCTCGCAGGGAGAAGAGAGAGGGCAAGCAGGGGACTCCGGATCTGGCCTCGGCAGCTGCAGGGGTAGCCGGAGAAGGGAGATCGAGTCGCCGGCGCCGGGGGCGCTCACCCGACGCAGGTGCGGTCGCGGGAGCCCATGGGCACTAGCGGGCAGTCGGAAGTGGTAATTATAGTTTGACTTCTTATGGTTAAGCCTCTCTTAGTTTTGTTGATTGTTGGTTTATGAATTATGATAGCTAACCAGTCTTGCCAGCTTGTTAAGCTTGTCTTAGTTTGAGCTTAGAATCCATGCACCAACACAGTCAATTAGAGCACGCAACGACCTTGACACATGAAAACTTGTTGCTTAAAACTATAAATCGATATGATCAAACGGCTAGAAAATCTTCTAGCCCAAGTGGTAATGCAAATATGCAATCTCAAGGTTGACTCTGATCTGGAGATTGTTGTGGATCATACATGTGTTTGTTAATTATATAACTATTCTGATCAAAGTGCTAGAAGACGTATTGTAGCCCGAGTGGTAATGCAAATATGCAATCTCAAGGGTGACTCTGATCTGGAGGTGGTTGTAGGATCATGCATGTGTTCGTTAATTATATAACTATTCTGTTCAAATATCTAGAATACGTCCTCTAGCCCGAGTGGTAATGCAAAGGTGCAATCTCAAGGTTGACTGTGATCTGGAGGTATTTGCGGATCATGCATGTGTCCGTTAATTATATAACTATTATTAATGTCATCCTAAACATCTCATCAAATCAAATGTATGAATTCTTTAATTAAACATGCCCGAACAGCTAGATAACGCGCTTGAGTGGTAAGGGTATCTCTAGGTTGGTACATCGTTGACAATGATCTCGAGGTTTGATGGTAGAAGAATTTGGAATATTTGGTTTGTGGATCATGTATATGCTCACTATATAATTAATGAAAGGTTGAACATCTCATCAGATGTTTGAATTCTTCACTTATCTATAAAATATAGTATCACACATTCATTTCAAATAGGGGGTACCTGTTTTTAGAGCTTAACGTTTTTGAATTTATTATAGTCGAACTAAAGGAAAGCTAAAGATGCTTAAGGAATTTAATTTTACTTCTTTTTGTCACTTATACCAATTAAATTCTAAATTAAGTTATTGTACAAGTTATAGTGCTAATAATTAACTTTAAACAACTTTAACTAAACTACTCTTCATCCGTTTCAAATACACTCAATTCTATATTTGGACACAAGGGTTATCAGTGATGGTGAAATGCCTATATTGTCTATCTCTTTTACCTTACAAGTTTGTTAAATTACCTCCTATTCCTCCCTAAAAAAGACAGGCGGGCACAAGCATAGGAAATTAGCTAGCTCTTCGTCTATAATAAGTATTAAGGGTGTTCTAAAAAGGAGGAAGTACTTCTCATGGTTTGTGTATATGCATTTAGCTTGAAAATGTATAGCTATATATATTTAATTGACATAGATGTACCATAATTAAACTTTTTTTCAATTTATTTGTGCTACCTTCTAGTATGTCTGGTAACACATGCATTTCACATATGTAGGGTTATGGCATGATTACTCTAGCATCGACAATCCCAACACAACAAACGTCATCTCTCGACAACGACTACTCTTCCCACCCTTCATCGGTGAAGGTGGCCTTCTTCTACATCTCCCTCTACCTCATCGCCATTGCGCAAGGCGCGGACAAACCCTGTGGCCTGGCCTTTGCCGCCGACCAATTCGACCCCGACCACCCCCAAGAATGCGCTGCCCGTTGCTCCTTCTTCAATTGGTGGTACTTCTCAATAGCCATTGGTATTGCCGTTGCCGTCGCCTTAGTCAGCTACATCCAGGAGAACCTTGGTTGGGGAATTGGATTTGGATCTCTATGTGTCATCATGATCAGCGCCTTCATTGTTTTCCTCCTCGGCAGCCCCAGCTACCGGCTCTATGCGCCAACCCCAGGTTCCCAAAGTCCCTTCACCCGCCTCGCCCACAACATTGCCACACTTTTCAGGAGCTTGAGCTTCTCCTTTGGGACAATAAGGCAACACCATCCAAAAGATGGAGATGACACGACCAAGTCGGAGGAGGTGCGTAGCGTGCTACGGCTGCTACCTATCTGGACGGCGTGCCTGGCGTATGGTGTTGTGTTTGCACACATTATGACATTTTTTAACAAGCAAGGCCGCACCCTGGATCGCCGCCTCTTTGGCAGTCTAGAGCTGCCGCCAGCCGCATTGCAGACATTTGGACCAGCAGCCATCTTGTTGTTCGTGCCCATATATGACCGTGTGTTGGTGCCAGCACTACGCTGCATGACAGGCAATCCTTCGGGGCTAACACCGCTGCAACGTGTGGGCACCGTCATGGTTGTGTCACTAGCCACTATGTGTGTGGCCGCATTGGTGGAAGCCCGACGGCTAGAGACGGCACATGAGTATGGTCTAGTGGATGACGCCCGAGCAACAGTGCCAATGAGTTGGGTGTGGCTTGTGCCGCAGTATGTGATGATCGGGGTGGCGGATGTATTTGCGATGGTTGGGATGCAGGAGTTCTTTTATGACCAGATGCCAAGCGACTTGCGTAGCCTTGGCTTGGCGCTTTACTTTAGTGTGATGGGCATTGGTGGCTTCATCAGTGGCGCTCTGATCTCCCTCATTGACCGTGTCACCAGCAGCGGTGGCGGGGATAGTTGGTTTGCAGACAACCTCAACCGTGCCCATCTTGACTACTTCTACTGGCTGCTCGCTGGCCTCAGCGCCATCGAGCTTGTGCTCTATATCCGCTTCACCATCTCGTATGTCTACAGGCACAAGAGCCTCCACTAAGAGCGTGCCTCTACAATTGGATGAGTACCCATGCTGTTGTATTCTTAATTTCTGACGACGGACGCCAGGATGATTGATGATCAAGATTTCTGACTTTGTCACCCCGTTGGGTAGCTACTTGCTAGTAAAGTTATATCACAGCATTGGCGATGTCACTTGATAAGTCCTGTGGCATTTCAGATTATGTCTGTTTCATATTTTATGAAACATGTTTCATTTTTATTTTTTACAGGTTCAAATTGAAATATGTAAAAAAAAAGTTGAGCCTATATGGCAAGGATCCGACACAAGTTTTATTTGTAAAAAAGAAGTTAACAAAGAAGACTCAAGTAAGTAAAGCCCATTTTAAGCAACCGTACCGTGAGATTACTTAAGTGTTCGTGTTGACAATGCATTTGGAGATATTATGCACTTTGGAGCATAGGTGTACGTTTTCCTCTATCAAAACTATACCAATATGACATATGTACTTTGAGATCATTCTACATGTTTCCCTACAACTTCCCTCGGCAAAACTAGTCCCCTGACGGAGCGTGAACTTTTTCTCTAAACAAAGCAGCGCTTTTTCCATTTAGAAAAGATTCGGGAACAGCTGGTTGATCATGTGTTTGGCCACCCGATAATACTACACGCATGCGCAAAAGTCACAGACTTTCACGGACCCTGTTGTGTGGCCTTCACTAATTGCCCCCCCCCCCCCTGTTTTAAGTGGTGGGCCCACCTCATTTTATCAAATCTAAGCCAATCAAATCCTAAACACCCTGTAAAACTATGTAAAACCCCTGTGTGTGTAGCATCTCTCTTGGCAGCCTCGTTCCCCCACATGTTTGCTCACCCCAGCCGGCCACACACAAGGGCATCTCCAAAACGGACCCTCAAATCTTTATTATATGTTTGGATTATAGTGTAAAGACCACCTTTGCCATTAAATGGAACAACCCCGAAGATAAATTTTGTGATTTTTTAAAAATGGAGTCATTTGAAACCCCGAAGAATTTTTGAAAAATGTGAACAATTTTGAAAATTTACGACCATTCCCTTGAAATTGTGAACACCTTTTGAAATTACAACTTTTTAAAGTTATGTTTTTTAATATTTTAAGCATTTTTATAATAAGTAGAAACAAAATATGAATAATTTTCAAATTTTCATTGAAATCTATCGAAAATTTACAAAATTGGAAAGGAATAAAGAAAATAGAAAATAGAAAGGAAAAACCAACCAAAACAGTAAAAAAAAGCAACCATAGAATGAAAAGATAAACTGTATGAAAGGATCCAACATCGTTGGTGGATGCGTTAACCAATTTCTAAGGACCCAACGGCATAGGTTGGATTAATCAGACGACTGTGAAGCAGATTGATTTCTCCCATGAATCAGTCGAGTGATTCTTAGTGCTTGTCATTCTGCTATAAGATTAGAAAGAGAGAATTATCGACAAATTCAAGAAAAGGAGACTAACGAAAGTAACCAAAAACCACCACAAGTATGCATAGACGCATACTATCACATTCAACTTTACTCTATGTGCTCAGGTCCAAACGCATGGACGTGTGATTAGTGTGCGGCGGAATAGGTCCCCAATTTCCATGGGACTCAAAATTCGTAGCACAAGGCAGCTCATAGCCGCCAATGACTTTTAATCCGGGGTCTCGTATTTGAGGCTCCATCTCTGCGCCGACTCCATAACCTCAGAATTGCTGAGGCACGCATTTGGGCTAAAATCAGCAACATTGGCTTGGCCAACGTTCTGCCTAAGTAGTTCGCATGAGGCACCCCCCTCCCCCCGCCCGCCCATGTAATGCTCATCCTCCTTGCCCTCTCTACTTTCGGTATTAGAACATTGCTTGGACATCTTGCACTCTATGTACTCTCTTTCTCCTATCAATGAAAGATACGCAAGCTCTTTCGTATTCGGCAAAATTATATATGTCGCTTGATGACTCGCGTCAGATGTCTTCCTCTCACTGGATGCGGCCAGCCCATTACCACCGTTCGCATACCTCGTGTAGTCTGTAGCCTAACGTAGATCAATTTGTGGGTTTTTTTTCTATTAATTCCACTACACCAAAAAACCAACATGATGTTAAAAAAAACTCACAAATTTTAACAAATTTCCTGAATTAAAAAAGTTCATAATTTAACAGAAGTTTGTGAATTCAACAAAAGGTCACAAACACGAAAAATACTCAGGAATTTGTTTTGTTAAATTCAAGAAAATGAAGAATTCCCAAAATATTCACGAATTTAAAAAATGTTCATGGAGAATTTAAAAAATGTTCATGTAAAATTTTAAATATATTCATGAACAAAATAGTTCACAATTGCTTTCGGGCAAAAATGGTCACCAGTTTGAAGAACATTCTGAATTAAAATTGTCTGTGAACTAAAAAATGAACCCTTTTTGAAAAAAGTGAACTATTTCTGAAATCCAAGCAAAGAATTTAAAAACCATGGACAATTTTTAAAATTAATGAAAAATCTCTTGAAATTTTGAACTACATTTGTAATTCCGAACACTAAAAGGTGGGAACATTAACAATTTTTAAAATTTCAAGTATTTCCTGAAAAAATAAAAACCATTTGAATATTTGGTAAAATTATATTAATTATTATAAAATTTGGAAAAAATAAAAAGGGAAAAATTGAAGTAAGTACAAAATTGGAAACAGATGTAGGAAAAAGATGAAAAATGTAAAACGTAAACAAACCAAGTAAAACCAGCTGCCTTGTGAGCATGTGTCGCACGATTAATGGCCAAGCCCGCTCCAAGCGTGTACAGCGGGCCATATACTGCGGGCTCGTCTATACCTCGCTCCACGCTAGTTTGACGGTATCCTCGCCTGAAGCGAGCGCCATACAAGGCTGCACCACGTGCGCGGGAGTCTAGTACCTGTTTTTTTTCGTCTTAATTGTTTTTACTTTTGTTTATACCTCCAAATATTCTAAAAATTTCAAACATATACTTTACATACCTTTTTAAAAAATATTAATCATGCATTTTAAAAATGTTAAATATGTATAGAAAAAAGTATCCGACAAAAACATATACAACGAGCATGGGAGAAAATGGACATAAAACAAATGTATAGTAAAATGTTAATCATTTATTTGGAAACGTGTAAACATGTATAAAAAAATGTTCCCAATGTACGCAAAAAAAAATAATATGTATGAAAAACAGTAGACATAAATAATATATGCTTTTAAAATTTGTTAATAATTTGTTTCAAAAATGTTAAATGTGTACAAAAATGAATTCTGATGTATCCAAAAAAATGTGGAATGTATATTAAAAAAATTGAACATCAAAATATAATTCCTTAAAATGTAGATCATGTATAAATATAATGTTAATCATATATTAAAAAAATTCCAAACGTGCATCGAAAAATGGTCTTGATGCATACGAAAAATGTAAATTTGCAGGAAAAAGTAGTACTCCAACACAAATATTTCAGAAAATGTTAATCATCTATTCCACAATGTTAATCATGTACAAAAATGTACCTTGTGTATACGAAAAATGTAGAACATGTATTAAAAAAATTGAACAAAAACATAAATTATAAAAAATGTTTGCCATGTAGCATTTTTAATCTTCTATTAGAAAATTATAAACATGTATTAAACATTTTTCCTGATATATACCAACAATGTACAACATATATGAAAAAGGTAGTCACGAGACATTATTCTTGTAAAATGTTAATCAGCAATTTAAAAAACGTTAAACATGTACAAAAAAATGTTCCTAGTGTATACATAAAATGTACAAATGCGCCTTAAAAATATAAACATGTGTTGAATTAAAAAGGAAGAAAAAATGTAAATACCAAAGAAATGAAAGAAAGAAACAAAATAAACACCTCAGAATTGAAGAAAAACATGAAACCCCCGAAGGCCATGAAAACGCATGTGGAAACGAAGAATGACTCAGAAAAACAAAACCAAACCAAAGAAAAACGAAGAAAACTGATGAAAAATAAGAAAGTAGAAAAAAACAAAGAAAAATAAATTTAGTATAAAATAAATAAAAATAATGCAAGAAATAAAAGAAACCAAAGAGAAAAAGGAACACAGGAGAGCTGGAGAAAAACAGTGCAGAAACAAATGTAAAACAAGGAATAAACAATAGAAAACCGAAAAAACGGAAAGGAAAAGGAAAAAAGAAAAGCCCTTGAAGAAATCAAAACCCCAAAAGAAAATTAACTAAAAATCAGGCCAAAACTGGAGTAGAAGCCGACACAAAAAAAGACAGGAAAAAACCCACGAACTAAACCCAGCTCACGAAACTCAGAAAATCCGAACAAAACATAACGAATTGAAAATACAATAGACGAAATTGGCCGGCCCAGTAGCTGCAGTGCAGCGATGAAGCTACACTCGAGATGGAATGAACACTTGTACTAAGTGAGATATAGCTCCCACGATATACGGCAGTTGCCACAAACTGGAGGGGAAATGCACAGTGTGCAAACTGATGGACCGGCCCAATCCAATTGTGAATATTTTTTGAAACTACGAACAATTTTATATAAAAGGCGACCATTTTTAACATGTTTTTAAATTTCTTAAAGAACAAAATGTTTAGAAAATTTGGATATTTTTGAAACACTCAAATATTTTTTGAAAACAGGAACATTTTTCAAAAAGTGCAAATATTTTAATTTGGAACGATTTTATAAAATCCGAACAAATTATTTTATTTTGAACATTTCATGTTATTGAGAACAAATTTTAAAATTCTGGACATTTTCTAAAACATAAACAGTTTTAGAATTTTTGATCATTTTCTGGAATATCATTGAATTTACAAATTAAAATTTTTCTAAAAGTCTGAACAATTTTTCAAAAAACAAGAACACATTTTTGGATAGGTTTGAACATTTATTGAAATTTTGATGTTTTTTAAAAAATAAGAAAAAAGTGAATCGGAAAATTGAAAAACTTAAAAAAAATTAGAAAACGGGTAATATTCACGATGGAACCTTGGTCCC